TACTGTAATAACGACTTACTTGACTTAATTTCTTTAACAATTTAGTTAGAATACATTTCATTAAACATATTCCAGTTACCAATTTGTCGATACAATGTATATGGTAAAATGCTGATTACATTGTCCTAAAATCATATTAACCCCTTTTTAAGAAGTCTGTACTCATGTTTCCCAAATGGTCTCCAATTGAGTTAGTGTTTTTAGATTATTTTCCTATATAAATATTATATTTACATTGATAATTTTACACATATTTTTAAACACATTCCAGGAATTCTTTTTTATTGATACAAAAAAAATAGAAAGTACTGAAAAATTGATTCAACATATAGACATATACACATTAAACAAATTAAGAAATTATAAAATTTTAAACATGTCATTAAAATATATTTAACTGTTTTTACTTAATGTTAATGGCTTATAATCTATATCTATCAATTCATTTAACCAAATATTTAAATTTTATATATGAAATATATCTAATTATCTTAAAATAATAAAATATGAATTTAGAACAATGTATTGATGATCAATGTAGATCAATTAATTTCCTGTAAAAAATTAGTTTGAATACATCCTAAAAAAACATGTTATAGGTAGCAATATTCGTAGATACTGAATATTTAATTAATTGCAGATAAATTGATATGAATCATAAATATATACAAATTAAAAACATTAAGAAATTATTAAAGTATAATAATATCATTCAAAACCAATGTAACTGTGTAGATAAATATTATTTTGTATTTAAGGTAATTTTAACAGTGTTATTCTCCTAATATATAATATTTATATATGAAAGTAATCTAAAAACACTAATCTATTTAGAGAAAATTTGAGAATTTCGTAATATAAATATGAATAAATATATCTATATACATATAAATATTAAACATGAATTTTATTGAGAATATGAGTGCAATATTCTTTAAAGATGTTTACACGAATTTAGGACATTTATACAAATCATTTTCACAATAATTTAACAATTTTAAATTTNTACAATATATTTTGATTCCTTTTTAAATATTTACAAGTTAATAGAACCTAATTCAAAATTGCTTTGAATATCTCAAATGTATAACTTAAGTATATCAATGCAAGTAAGGTAAACTATTGTGAAAATGATCAATAAAATGCTTATAAATAATATATTCATATTTTAAGAAAATATAACTCATATTTCGTAAATGGTCTCTAAATGTTAAGTGTATTTAGAATATTTTGTACATAAAAATTACATATTAAGAGAAGAACATTGAAAAATATACCTCATTTACCTAAAAAGATTAACCTACACAGTTATTTGTAATAACTAGATTATAATATGATTATAATGTAATAATGTCTTATTAAAATTATAAACTTGTGTAATTATTTGTATTTTTAAACTACATACAATAGTGTCCAGAACTATGGTGATAATGTATAAAATTAATGAGTTTATAATTATTGACCTCATTTCTTTAAAAACTTAAACTCACACACACATATATATATATATATACATTATAAATATAATATGGCATTTTTTCAGTTTAATCATTTTATTGGTTTTAAATGTAATATTACAAGAAAATAATTAATTAATCAATATTAATTAACTGGTATATAAGTGTAATATTTGAAATTCATCAATTAATATTGAATTAATATCATAGGTTTTTTCTTGTATATATTACTAAGAAAATTATGAGTTAAATCATTTTTATTTCTTTTTATGAAACAAGATTTTTGAAAATAGGTTCTGTTGATAGTGTAAATCTATTATTAGTATTAGATACTGTCATTATTTTATGTTAACAGTTCTACTTACACCTTTCAGGGATATATTAAATACAAAAATAAATACAAATTATCAATGTTATTCTCCTTATATATCATATTTATACAGGGAAAAATCTAAAACAAATAATTATATTATATATGATTATACTAATTTAGGACATCAATTTATAGATCAATTTTCTAATACTTCACCTATTTATCTATCTATCTATCTATCTATCTATCATCTATCATCTATCTATCACCTATCTTTCATTTGTAATAAGTACTGACATTGTTGTAAGTTTATAAATCAAATTTTTTTTTTGTGAAATGAATCTATTATTTATTATTCATCGAACTTACTTATATGATCTAAGATTTAATGAATCTTGTTGTAGTTTTTATTTTGAATTTAGTTTGAAAGAATCTCAATGAACATATCCTAGGTATCATTAGTAATGGACAATAAATATAGAAAAAAGTACTAATAAATTGACATGACACATAAATTTATACACATTATACGCAATATGAAATTATGAATGTATACAAGAGATATTCAGAACAAATTTATCTGTGTGGATCATTAGTTTTAGGTGTGGAAGGTATATTTTTCAATGTATTTAATATATACGACAATATATATATATATAAATCTTTAGAATTTTACAAAATATTTATTTACCAATCGGTACTTTACTAAAATATTAGTTTCCGGAACTATTTATTTATATATATATAATACAAGAGCATTGATTTTATTGTACTTGACTTAATTTCTCTAAAGGTTAAATTTAAATGCATCTCATTAAACAGGTATTATTAGTTATAAATACAAAGAATATAGAGAAATGCTCATAAAGTGATATGACACATAAATATACACATTAAAGACATGCAAATATTATGTTATGTCATATAAATTTTTAAAGATATTAAGTGAAAAATCTTAAAATCATTTATATTTTACATTCCTATCCGTGAATACATAGTTCTGGATATTTCTGAAGTTTATTGTTAAATAATGATAGAAAAATAAAATTTACATATAATTACACAAATATGTAAATATAATAAGACACTATTTCATTATAATCATGTTTTTTCAAATATCTGTAAAAATAATATTTAATAATTCTTAACCCATATTATAGTAGTGTTATATAAGTATTATATATGAAATATTGATTAGGATATCTATTAGGTAGTTGTGTGTGTATAAATATTAATTTATTAATATAATGTAAAATTAAATTCAGATATCCAATATTATACGTATTAACTCATAGGTATTTTTTGTACATTCCACAATATATTTTTATATTTACATCAGAAAAAATGTGTTGTTTTATTAATATTTACAAATTAATAAAACCCAATGTCATTTTTTTATGAAAATCTCAAAAATATACCTTATATATTTCAATTTAAACTAGTTAGATTATCGTAAATATGATCAATACATTGTCCTACATTCAAATAATCATATTTTAAGAAAATAGTACTCATATTTCTCAATTGATCTTTAATAATTTTACCATTATAGACCTATATACCCATATATACCTTTTATAACTATTTAATTACACAGTGTTATTTGTTTGGAATGATATTGTTATACTTTTATAACTTCCTATTGCGTTAAATGTGTATATATTTACGTATCATATCAATTTATCAGTATTTTCCTATTTATTTACATATTATAAAAAGGATATCTAGAATATGTTTTATGAGATGTATTCAAACAAAATTTTTAATGAAATTTAATCAATTTTCATAATATTATTGATCTTTTACATTATTTTCTTTGAATACATAGTTCTGGAAAGTATATTTATAGTTAAATACCATTTGAAAGAAATATTACATAAAATTCCTCAAAATTATAAATATAATAAGATAGTTTTACAGTATAATCATGTTGTTTTAAATATCTTAGATATACTAGAAAACAATTATAAAAACCATATTATATTTTTGTTGTGTAAGTATTATATGCGAAATTCATCGATAAGAACATCTATTATATTTACTTGTCAAGATTAATTATAAATATAGTGTCCAGTTCTATTTGTTTATTTTAGAAAATAATCTAAAAAAACTAATCTATTTAGAGACCATTTGAGAAATATGAGTAATATTTAGAAATCTGTAGGAGGGGAGAATGAAATTAAAATTTTAACTTTTTCTTTGTATAGGTATACCTAACCATAAATTACTTATTATACAATATAATTAAACTAAGTATCGAGGCCACCTCATTATTAGTACAACCCTGATATGTTCATGTATACATAAAATATACATATTATTATACATATTTATTAATCGTGTATATTGTGTACATTTAGTACATATACTTAGTGTTCACAATATTTACGGCTGAAACGAGCCTTATTTTAACTCATATTTAGATAATAATCTCTATTATGATTTCGCTCATATATATATTTATTTTAAGTATTATAATGAAAGTACTCAGTTGAATTTACTAATTTTAAATCATTTATTAAAAGGTGTTATTATAAAAGTATATTATTAGATTATTATTATAAGTGTAAATTATCTCTGATCTGTATTGCGTTCAATGAGGATCTGGGTGTAATTTGATCGATTGGTCTAATGGCACGATTTTGGCTTATTTCACTTCGCTAAGAACCTAATTAAATTACAGTGCCAGTATTATTATCAAAAATGTCTATTATACCCGGAAGAGTTTATATTGATTAATTACACAGAGTTAATAATAAATCGCTTACATATAGATTTTACAATATTTTAAGAGTATTTTAGTCTAGTAATATAACAAATTATCCGTAGGTATTGAGTTATTTTATATCATTACATATACGTCGTCTTTGTTTTTTGTTATAATTATTACATGTTCAAATTATAAATAAATATACAAAACAAACGTAGTTACTAGTTACAGCACCCATAAAACGTAAATATTATTACGATATTGTTTTGATTGAAACAATTCGACATTATAACAGTTTTGTTTTGATTTTCGGATATTAATAATCTCTACCTATATGTACACGGAATCGTAAATCGTATTTTACTACTAATTTTTTACTTTTATCTATTTTCTACGCTTGTAACTACATTTTATTTAAGTGACAAGCAAAACCATTAATTACATTTTTTTATTTAAATCAATAAATTTATTACTTTGAATAATATTGTGTATAATTCATTAATAGCAGTAATAAAGCACCATGGAAAACGAACTAGGATCGGACATTGAACTGATCGAAGATGAGAATATGCTACGGGAAATGGTACGAAATGATTAAATTTGTTTAAAAAAAATCTAGTTATTTACTTTTCTTTTCTTTTAGTGGCAAAAAACCGAGGACTATAGAAAAAAGAAAGAAATTCGTATGAGGATGTTTAAACTTCGGAAAAGACATCTTAAAGAACTTTACACAACGGAAGATATAATTCAAACTAATAATACATCGGAACGCTGTTCGACAAGCACTCATACGAAATCTATTACGGATCATGGATTTATAACGAAGAAAACGAAAGAGATTAAAGATTCTCAATCACCCTCACAATGTTACATAAAAAAATTAAATACTAATACTAATTTTCGAGTAAAAGAAGTAAAACCAAAAAAAAAATCTCCAGTAAAACAACGAGAACATTTTTCAGTTAAACAATTAAATTCTTTAATAAAAGAAATACAACCATCTTCTGAAGAAAAAGATGAAAAAGATTTAGGTAATGAAACTGCATTTACAGTTGCTGATAGAGTGTCTAAGTTTTTTAAAAATGTTCC